GATATACAGACAGATAGATATACAGACAGATAGATATACAGACAGATAGATATACAGACAGATAGATATACAGGCAGATAGATATACAGACAGATAGATAGATATACAGATAGATAGATGTACAGATAGATAGATGTACAGATAGATAGATGTACAGATAGATAGATGTACAGATAGATGTACAGACAGATAGATAGATAGATAAATAGATAGATGTACAGACAGACAGACAGAATATTGTAACACATTAGGAACAAAAACAGTGAAGAAAATTTGTACCTGGTCAATGTCTTCCTTGAGAATGCGATGAAAGCCAACAAGTGACTGTGACGTGGATTTTTGAACCTGTGTTTTGTTTTTTGAAACCACCAGCAGGTTAGAAATCTCTGTAAGAAAACAGTAAAAAAAAGTTTTGTAAGAATAAAAAACACAATTGTATTTTTCTCTGGCATTCTGAAAAACAAAGCTAAGATTCGTGTTTGTGACAGATGTGTTTTAAAAAAATGTTAGCGTTTCCAGGGTTATGTTATTGTAATGCTGTCAAAAGAGCTGAAAAGTCTGTTTTCAAACAACAAAACAAATTCCATAAAGCAGTGAATCTGTATTAAAGTGTTTTTCACTACATCCTAACCTAACAGAAGAGCTCAGACAGCACCATGCACTGGGGTTCTGTATGAAAGCAGAACAGTTTACATGCGGTGAAGCGACCTACCAACAGTTACGTCAATGTGGCGACGAGGAGCGCACAGTCTGGTCCAGCTAAAGTAGCAGTTCAGTATGTGTTTCGGATATGAATGTCATCTGAAGGAAGAAACTGCCAAGTTGACTTATTTGCGCTAGCACTATTTGCGACTGTTGTACACTGTGGGTTTTTAGTGTTGTGACAAAACCAACTAATTGTGGTTTAAGTGGGGGGGAGCACCTGTACTCCATCAGCATCTTCTCAAAACGTTTTAAAAACAATGTTTTGTAACACGCATTCTGGGTTTTGTGCAAAAGCCCAAATAATGTGCACTCAGATCTAACACACTGAAAGTTGTATATTCTGCCGTGTTGCACTCACTCTTTTATTCTTTGACTAACTTTGTAGTGTACGCATTTTCCACCCATCTCAAACTACACCATCGTACTTATTCTTTAAGTTGTGGTARGAATAGTTACACACACTGCACAAATCCAGGACAGAGGAGGTAAAAGCACAACTGCACCTCTCAGGAAGTCAGCAGACTATACATGTGTGTTATTGTCACAGAAGGGTGTTATGTAACATCCTAAAGATATGACAACGAACAGACTTATAACACTGGTCCAACTCAAACATATGAAGACTGCAGATCAGGATTGTAACATCAAAGGACTGCAAACATCTCTAAATAAACAAAAAGCTCGACACATTCAAGGCTCAAAGACTGCCTGTGTCAAACAAACAGACGAGCACAAGTTTGGCTCCGGAAACCCACATTTACAACTCTCTTCCTTCCCGACACCATTTCAGAGACACTGGCAGCGCTGCTTCCCTTACCCTCACACAAACACTCCTACGCTTCGAGAGCTGAGAGCGGGCCAAACAAACATTTTGTATCGACAGAAAGTGTTGCTTAACTCAGCTGCTGGTTTGAAATGTTCAAGTCTGTTACTCTTTTTAAACACCACCTAGTGTCACRGTCAGGTGCCAAGTATAGGACTTGTTACCACACCCGTTTATAGCAAGCTGCAAAATAATAGTTTCAACACTGTTTTGTGTTCAGGTTTCTTAATAATTATGACCATCGCAAGCGAAGCGTAAGCGGGAGTCATATTGTTCTCGTACTTTTTTTTGTTTTGTTTCTTTCAGTGATTTTCGGTCAACTGTAGCCCAAAAACGGCTGCACCAACCAACATGAAATTTGGCAGAGCTGTAGATGTGTCTGACCTACACTGCCCCAGCCAACGGTTTTACGATACACCCCTTATTTGAGAAGGGGGCTCCTTTAAAAATGGGGGTGTGAGGACATGCAAAAATGGTTATAACTCAAACTGTTCAACATAGAAGCTTCAGATTTCTTTTGTTGTTTAGCTCTGATAAGGGGCTATCCATCAGGCCCACCAATCAGTGCCCCACCCCCACCCCCCCCAAAAAAAGTCTCCCACCCAAACCACTACAATTTTGGGATGCACCTAGCAGCATGACATTTATTAGGATTAAAGTCTTCTGAGTTCTGGTGCATTTGTGCGTGTGGGGGTCATTATGTTACCGCTAAGCGATATCTAGTTTATGAACCTAATTAAAGCAAATCAATAAAACTAAAAGTATTTTTTTTATCTTTGAACTCATAATTACAAAACTTAACTTGACTTGTGGTTTTAAAATCCTTGTTTTTCACATTTAAATCATTCAGTTGGGGTCTATATAAAGTGAAACTCCAATGCTTTGGTCTGAATTGGTCTCCTTATTGTAACTTCACAAGCCCCTCTTTCACCCCTTTTCTGAGGTGTGTCTCAAATTTACTCGTTTTGAGGCTGTCTCTTTGGACCACCAAATTATAGTTGGTAGGTCCAGAACTTATTTAGAAGTTCTGTTGCAAATAATTTGACATAATRTTACAGAAAATAAGGAAAACTGAAAAATATGACCCAAACAGAATACAAAGATACCTCTGCAGCACCAGGGGAGACTGATTTTCAATTTTCTGCACTCCTAGAGACTCCGAGTCCACAACAAAATGCACTCAATAGCTAAAAAGGTGGATTTTGCATTTGCTTAAAAAGGCAATATTATGTGTTTCTCAGGCATATATTTAAATTCTACACCACAATAAAGTAACTATGTCACCTTCAGTTGTTATTAAAATGCTGTTTATATGTTTAAATAGAAAATAAACTTGACTTYTTATATCTGTTTCTAAACGCCTTGAAATTGGCCTCTGTCTCTTAAGAAAATCCTTCCGCTTCTGTCCCGCCCATTTCAGCACGGGGTCGGGTGTGTGTGTTCYGTGATGAGGAAGCTCAGCTTGGAGACACAGCTCAGAGGAGGAGCTGGTCCCAAAAGGTGGTTCTAGGCCCAACCAGTGGTTTTTGCTCCCCTGCCCGGCTGCTTCAGCACACTACAGGATTTCTCCAACATGCATGAATGAGTCAAAGCAAGACTCTGGGCATGTTTTTGATGAGAGGATAACATTATAACATGATATAAAACTCTAAAAGKTTGCTTTTACATGATATAGCTCCTTTAACTAAAGATATGTACGTTAAAGTGATAACCTTATTTAAACAGTATTTTTTACTAGTGTACTTGTCTTTGAGTAATCCTGTGGATATATTACTTACGTCTTGGCTCTGGAGGGCAGCAGCGAAGCAGCTGAAACTGAAGGTTGTCGGTGCGAAGACACTGGCCTTCCAGGTGCTCTAGCAGCTCCTTTAGGGTGGGTCGCGATGTTTCGGTACCATGCAGACGGAACCCTTTAGGGTCCACCTCAACTTGAAAGTTCTTGTATTGTTGCCTTGGACTAGATTTAAGGCCCTAGATGAAGACGGAAGGAAAGCCTTTAAAATYGCAAACTTTTTGTTTTTAAAGGTTGACTTTATGAATCATCAAAGTACAGCTCACAGCCAGACAGACCAGGGCAAAGAAAAATGTTAACTAAAGTAAAATTGTTTTAAAAACTAAGGAAAAGAGAATGGAGTCTAAACAAAACACAAGAACAGGAAGAATGATTTTATCTAGAGAAAAAAGCACACTAATAAAATACAACATTAAATGAGGACGAGTGTAAAAGAATATTTGCATTGATAAGAAAAAAACAATTTTATATTTGTAGAAACTATGATGACAGATAACTGTTTACAGTATGTAATCAACTGTGCATACTGGTACAAATATACTACTTAAAAGTACTCTGTATGCACAGGGGAGCTCAGTTGAGTAAATTAAGTGCACATTTTGTCTTTTCTGGTCATTTTAGTAACTAAGCGTATCAGTTCCATTAATATATTTTTCCCAAACAGCACATWCTTAAAATCATGTTTAATCATGATGGAAACATAAGTTGCTGTTTTAGAAACACTTAGTGAACATTACCTCACAAATCACAGTGATGATGATGTTGTCGTAGTCCGTAGCGCTCCAGCGCAGGAGGTAGGCACCTTCTGTATTGCCCTCCTGATACAACTTGTTGACAGCATAGTCCGTACTGGAGAAGAAGGAGAAAATTTCAGATTAACGTAGAAAGAAACTGAGTCACTTTTATAAAAAGTGTGAGGTAGACATTTGTAGTAAGAGTCTGGTTCATTTCAATCAGAAAACTGCTCGTTACAAACCTGATCGGTCCGTGACAGCCATTCTCGTTATTCTGCACCACTGAGACTGGCGCCACCTCCCTGCACAGGTAGTGGTGAGCGTCAACGCTCAACCTGAAGTACCCGTCAATGAGGGCAACAAACGACAGAGCCTTTTCACTAGATTGCATGTTTAAGATCTGGAAAAAACAATAAGAAATATACMAGAGAAAACATCTGCATTAGTCTTAACTAAAATCACGCAGCAAGATAGAAGCTGTGTTTCATCCAGTCTTACATGAAGCAACATTGGGGGGAAAAAATTAAAATAATAAAATAAGATTCACTTTCTTGTAGTGTGAAGTWTGAGTGATCATCTACTTAGATGATAGCTACTGTGATAAACATATGGGGTCATTGAAGCTGCAAACGCAAAGAGTTTTACAAGAATTTGTTTTTATAATCCCATTTTTTTATTGTCTTTGTAAACACAAGACTGATAGGTTTTTTATGTGAAACTACTACCGGTATTTAAATGTGCAATTACCCGCAGGCTTTAAAACAGAAAAAGTTTTAATTAAAAAGAAAATCATTCTTAAAATGTTATAATGTAATGAACTGAATAAGAATTAAATCACATCCAAAACCATGCTGTACATTTGTATGCATCTTACTCACCATTTTCTTGTTGTCCTGTCTTTTAATGGTGACCACGGATTCTTTGATTACAGTGTGTGTAATCTCATGAAAGTCACAGAACTGCACCCATTTCTCATTTTCCTCTTTATTTCTGTCATTCTTCTGTTTTCCATCCCTCTTCGACTTCCCTTTATCTTTGAGGATTGGGGATTC